TGGCAAGGCATGGACTGAGGAGCGAGGCAGCACCAGGACATGGCTATGTGGCATGTCAGGGTAAGAAAATGTGCAGAGGAGAATGTCAGAAAGATATTTTTATTACAATGGTGTGATGCAATTGCAAGCGGGAGGCCCCAGACCTCTCGTGCCTGTGTTTTCTCATGCAAGACTTTATAGGCATTGCATGACTTTCAACTCTGCTCTTATCTCTGCCCCCAGAGGACATTATTACTGCTAGTCTGACTATGCCAGTATGAATGTTTGATGGTGAATAATATTTTTGAGAATTGAATTGCCACTTGTTTCCTAATTAAAAACCAACCTCCTCATCATGTCAGCTATTTGCAAAAAGGAACATGATGGCGATAAACTACAGTGAGGCTTTACCTTTCTGAGGTGGCTGAAGTACCTCTGTTAAGAGTATTCAGGAGAAAGCTGGAGGAATCTATGGAGATGCAGGGGAGCCACCATGTTTCTCCAAGAGGCCAGAGCTGTGGAGTTCCCCCCCACTCTGGAGAGTTAGGGTGCCTAATGGGAGGGCACTGCGAGGGCAGAGGCTTCTTCTGTAAAACTGCTCCTTCTGGAATAGACAGTGACTAAAAGCAGCAGCAGAAATGGCCATTAATTACTCTATTTGTTTTCCACATTGCCTCTCACTGCTTATTACCACAGCATTAAGGAGATGGGATGCAACCCCTGCCTGGGTGCAGATGCTGCAGAGGAATGCCTGTGGGATTGGCATAGATTGTGAGAGGAGAGGGGCCAAAGCCACCTCGGGGCCTGGAAAAGCAGAGAATTTGACAGGCAAAGGGGTCAGAGTGAGGTTGTTTCCTTGGGATGCTGGGCTAACACCATCCCTCCCCACCGTGTCCACTTGGCTGAGCACGGTGGGGGTGAGTGAGGCTGACTTTGCTGCAGGGAGGGATGGGGAGGACCTGGGGGCCTGAGGAGAGATGGCATTGCCCCACTTTTCCCAGGAATAGTTTGCATTTACTCCTCTCCTACTGAGAAGTGCCTCTGGGCACTTCACCGTTGCTGCCTAATGAATCCTCACACAACCTCATTAAGCAGGAGCTGCTTCCCCTCCAGGAAACCCTGAACTCGGGAGCTGATTTGGAACACTGGGGAGTGGGGGGAAGGAGGTTCTGCCCTCTCCCCTTCATTCAGGCACCCCAGACAATACTGCCAGAAGTGAAGGAAAGATCAAAATATAACCTTTCTGCTTGGCTATAAACAAGCCATGGAATCTGGTCCAGCTGGGATCCATCACCAATAAATTATCTTTCCCCAGCGCTGCCAAGGAAGAGCAAGAAACTTAGTCTCTCTGTAGACAGTAGTATCCCATGGAGGGAACTGAGATAAACTACTTAATGCTCTTAATCTCAGCCTATGAGCATTTTGGGTAATATATTAGAAATATCAGTAAAAATAGTATTAAAAAGTAGCATTTAATAATCTTCTATGTGAACATTCCCCTCGAGGTATGTTATTGGCATTAGCCATGCATAGAGCAGGGATTTTATTTGGTACAGGATTGGCCACAGGGAGGGCAGCAGGACCACGGATGTGCCTCTGTCCTGGTGTAACATTTTGCACCATTATCTGGATGGGAGGGTGTTAAAGTAGGATACACTAATAAATGTATGATAACCTCATTACTCTCTGTAACATCATCCATCATCCTGTGAAGCAGAGCAGGGCATAATTAAACATTTAAATCTTATACAGATGATAGGAGGAACTTGCTCCTCGGAAGGAAGGAGCAGCAAGGGGAGGTTGATTTCTTGGCTCTGAAGTGGTTGCACATGAACCCCAGCACTCCAGCCCAGCCAGGCCTCAAGACAGGCTTAAACTGATTGAGCAGTATCAATCACCATCCACAGAAATGTCAGGAGATACTTAAATGCATTCAGAGTGTATCATATTCTGACCTCTGCTAACCCTGGCATCGATTAACTCTGGGTTTCCTTTACCTGGGGGAATCCCCAGGCAGGCATAAAGCACTGTTTATAAACACAAGCAAACACCAAAACCAACACACAAGAACAGCACAAACATGGCCTGGGATACAGCACAAGCTACAGAAAGCTGCACTTGGGGAGTTGAACTTTCCTGTAAAGGAGGAGGCTGGCACTGCCTGTTCTACGTGTTTTGGCTTCTACTTGATTCCACTCTGTAATTAAAATTGCCCATCCCAGTGACCTTGGAAATACTGGAATATATCACTTAAAAAATATGCATTTTACACACTGGAGATGTTTATCCATTAGAGGTGTTTATGTGCTAGAGGTGAGCATGAATAGCCGGAGCTGTGTTGCCTCCCCAGCCAGCGCCCAAGGTGGCTGTGGGGACGTTCCACTACCTCCAACTGCAGTGCAATCACACTTGGGAAATAAACGGTGCAGAGAACACCTTTTCTCATAACCCACTTCCACTCTGGTGCCAGCTGCTTGCTGCCACACCAGTAGTGATGGAAATCCAAAAGCAGAAAGAAGAAAACAAGTTTCTTAACTTGGTTGGCTGTCTTCCCAACTTCCTAGGAACTGTCAGCAGGAATGTCTTTGATGTGTACACAACAATAATATCCAGATAATAATGGTGAAAATGTGGCACAGAAATAAATATGAGAGCATTGGGAATCATAAGTGGTATTTTGGTGACTTCTATGACTGTCACCAGCACTGTAAAGCCACTTAAATATCTCAGCAGACCAGGGCCCTCCTCCTCAGGGCAGAGGTGGTTTGTTTGCTCTCTCCTTCCCTTGCCTGTGCTTGGGGTGTTCGGCAACACCATCAGGTCAGCACTGAGATCCTCCCTGTGGAGATGTTGCTTCTGCAGGATCACATTTCAGAAAATGAAACCCAACTCTTTCTGTGGACATATCAGTGAATGATGGGCAGAGCGGCTGCAGGAACCAAAACCTGGGAGTCACCTTGGAAGAGCTGGCAAAAGGTGTGTCTGCTCAGATAACCAGGCTAAGGATGTGGTGAGGGTGGCAAATAGTTACTCATGGCTAAACAGAATATTCCTTAGAACAGCAGAGGCACACAGTTTTGGACCTGTCACTAGACAACGTCAGCCTTTCTCATCAACACTCAAATGTTTTAAAGCTCTAAAATGATCCCACAGATGAGGCACAGACTGTGGGTTTTGCCTCGGTGGATTACACTAGAGCACAGGCTATCATGTGTACTGATGTATTTGCATGTGTTCTGATGTACTTATTTAATGAGACAGTAATTCTGCAGGTGTTAATGAGGGAGTGCAGCTGTAGGAGCCTGGACAGCCACCGTGGGACCTCTCTGGAGTGGAGGGTTGAGCAGGGCTGCTCTGCCAGGCTCAGGGAGAGGCACCACGGAAAGGACTTAGAAGAGACCTGAAATCACCATGTCTTAGGGCAGTATTTCTCCCACCACATCCCTGCAAATGGAGAGCCCATGCAGAGGCACTGGAATAAACTTTGCAGGGGGAGGCCCCAGTCCGGCCTGAGCCTGAGGAGTCGCAGGAACCGTGCCACGGCCCACTGCTAGCCCAGAGGATTTCAAGAGATAAAACCACCCCATTCCATCTCATCTCGGCTCAGTGAAACCTTTAAACAGGTCTGGTGGGAGACCTCACCCTGAGCTCCCAGGAGGGACATGCCCCAGGTCCTTCCCCGCTTCCTTCCACTCGTTTGGACACCCTGAGCCTCAGCTCTGCTCTGTGGCCACTGGTGGAGGAGAAACCTTCCCCAGTGGATCTGTTCAGGTGAAAAGTGTTGGCCTAAATTTACATTTTTAACAAAAAGCAGGTTCTCAGACAGTTCATAATGAGCCACATGGTGAAATCCTCCCAGCTGTATACTCTACCTTGCTTTAATCAGATCATTAACTTTCATAAAGATGTAGGCAGGAGGAGTGGCGGCACTTGAAAAGAGCTCAAAACACGCTGAGTTTCAAACTTCAGACTTGTCATTGACTTAGCCTTTCATTGAGCCAATTATTTATGACATATTTGACGAAATCCAGAAAAGAAAGCAGTTGAAATCTGCATATCTGCTTGGCTGCAGATATGGAGCTACTACTACATTAAGGAGGAATACGAGCGGGGAGCTCTGCTGGGGCAGAGGACACCTGGGTGCCTTGTTTTGCATGATCATTTGCCTGCAAGTGGTTCAGCGAACAATAATGGGGTGTCACACAGATGAATTTATTTGTATCCTGTTTTAATAAACTATGAGGAAATTAATTCTGTAGATATGTGTTTGACCGGGTGCTGATGTTTTCAGGCAGCCATCACACTCCTCACCCCATGTGCTTGGTGTTGGCTCTGGTGTTCCCCTTCTGCAGAACCAAGGAGTGGTTTGGGTTGGAAAGGGGGCTTTAAGATCACTTAACCCGTCTGCGATAGACAGGGACACCTCCCACTAGACCAAGTTGCTCCAAGCCCCATCCAACCTGGCCTTGGACACTTTCTGGGATGGGGCAGCCACAGCTGCTCCGGGCAACCTGTGGCAGGGCCTCCCCACCCTCGCAGGGTGGAATCCCCCACCGTGTCCGAGATCGGGACCACGAACCCCGGGACCCTCGCGCTGCCCTCGGGGGGCTGGGACCGTCTCCTCTCGGTGCGGGGTCACCCCGGGCCGCGGCCGCCCCGTCCCCGGGATCCCGGCGGGCGCTGCCCCGCTCCGGCCCCCCCGCCCGCTCCATGCCCGGATTTCCCCGGCAGTGCCGGGCAGCCCCGGCCCGCCCATGGCCGCCGAGCGCGCCCCGAGCCGCCCGAGCGGGGCCGCGGGGGCCGCGCCGGCTGCGAGCGGCGGGGGCGGACTGGGAGCCGCCATGGGCCCGGCGGGGGCGGGCGGGCGCTGAGGGGGCGCGGCGGGGGTTCCCTCCTTCCCTTCCTCCCTCTCTCCCTCCCTCCCTCCGCCCGTCCGTCCGTCCGTCCCTCCTGCCGCCCGCCCGGGGCGCAGGGCGGGAGGCGGGAGCGGCCCCCGCGCTCCGCACACGCGCACCGGGAGCCGCTCGGCCGCACCGGCGGAGCCGCCGCCGCCGCCCGCCGCCAACCCCCGCCCCGGGGGCGGCTGCCCCGGCGGAGCCTCCATCTGCAGCCCGGCGGCGGAGCGGGAACATGGCGGACCTGGAGGCGGTGCTGGCCGATGTCAGCTACCTGATGGCGATGGAGAAGAGCAAGAGCACCCCGGCGGCCAGGGCCAGCAAGAAGATCACCCTGCCCGAGCCCAGGTACCGCCCGCCCCGCCGCGGCCCCGGCCCCGCGGCCGCCCCGACCCGGCCCCCCGGCCCCCTCCCCGGGGCCGCACATAACGGTCCGGCCGTGCCCGGGCACCGCGGCCTCCAAGGCACCGGGTCCGGCTGGGGCGGGCGCGGGGCCGGGCTGGAGGTGCTCCGTGTGTGTGCTCCGTGTATGTGCTGGATGTGTTGGGTGTTTTGGACGTGCTGGAGGTGTGTGTTTATTTGGCACAACTTCTGCGGGCGTCCCTCGGGCGGCTTAGCGGGGGATACCCCGCTCCCCCCGGGGATGAAGCCCCCGAGCTCGGGGCTTTGTGGATCCCGAACCCGGTGTTCCGTCCAGAGGGTGAGGAATTCTGGCGAAATCAACCGGTAGCACCAAACCGAGTCGCTCTGGCCGTGCTGCTCCGCAGAGCGATTTTTTTTTGGTGATGCTTCCTGAGGTTTGACAGGGGCTGCGGGAGGAGGACGGAGCCGAGGTCTCCCTTAGCAGGCAGCTCACGGAGCAAAGGTGCTGGGGCAAGTCTGGGCTTCCTCGCCCCGACCTTCCCCGATCTCACCGCGGGAGCAAACGGATGCCTTGGCACAGCTGAGGTTGTTTGCTTGGGGCTTGGTGTTAAAAGCATGTTTTTGTCTTAAAAAGCAGCTTTCCCCCCCGGTTACGCTTGTGTTATAAAATCACCTGAGCATCGCTTATTTATTGTTGAAGTTAAAACTGAGATTTCTCCCTCTTTCGTGGCTCTGGATGTGTATATATATATTAAAAATGAAGATTTAGTCAGCAAACGAAATACTGCAACAGGAAGAATCTAAACCAAATTTTACTGCAGAATGTGTAGGCAGTTTGGAAGCCTGCTGGTGGCCTAGCCGAGCTGTCTACCGTGAGCCAGGCATCACTGAAGCCCTCTTCCCACTTCTGCACTCATTCTCTTGCTTTTCTGCTGGAATGCTGGGTAGGACAGGGAGGCTTTGGATCAGGGGAAGGCGAAGGGTGTCTAGCCCACGTTTATCCCCCTTGGAGGGGCAGTGAGATGTGTCAGGTGAAGAAGTTTTGCTGTTGAGTTTAAGGTCTGGTTGAGGATGGTGTTACTGGACAGATGAAGGCGCCCATTTTATTTCCTGGTATGTGTTCACACTTTCAAAAATAATGCAACATCCGTAAAATTTCAGCTACCCTGTTAGCCTGAGGTGCAGCTTTGCTGGGGGTGCTGGTGGCTTCACATTTATCAGTGCTTTGGTGATGTCAGTTCTGCCGTCAGTGATGTGCAGCAGTGCTGCTCCCTGTTCCCAGCAGGGACGCGACCCCTCTGGGCAGGTGAAAGGTGGGATGTGGAGTGTGTGCAGGGGACAAATAGTCCTTGCAGTGCCATGAGAAATAAGGACACCATTGGCGGTTGGGGGAGGATGGAAGGCTGTTGCCCGGACTGAGATCCGTCGTGCCCAGCGCGGGGAAGCCTCGTAGCACCGCACGAGGCCCGAGGAACCTGCTGTGCTCTACTCTCCTGCTCCAGTTTTTGCCTTGTGTCAGTGGTTGTTTTCCTGAGCTTGGAGAGATGGTTCATCTGCATTTGGCTTGGCAAGGTGGGAAACGCGGCCAGGTGCCAGAGGAAATTTTGTGGAGCAGGAGGAGAGGTGAAGGTGAAATGCCTCGCTCCTAGAGCTGCCTGCGGGAGAACCTGTTTGCACGAGATAGTGAACAAGAGGGATGGTTTGCCATCCCCCTTGGGCTGTGGTGCTCTGCAGAAGGTGAGAAGCCATCTGTGAGTACGTGGTGCTGTGGGATGGGGACATTTCAGGCACTCAGCACCGGAGCGGGAGGAGACATAACAGAACAGAGACTTACCTCAGGCCGGGACCACAAACGGCTTTAGGATACTCGAAATGACTGAACTTCTGAGCTACTAACTGAAAACAGGGATTTCCTCATACAGTAGGAAATTGCGACCGTTATTCTGGTGTCAGATATCTTTGTGCTGGTTTCTGGCTGTTTTTTTTTATTCCCTCTCATTAGAGCAGACATGGTGTGTTGGGTATACTGAAATATTCTGTATCGCTGGCAAAGTGATTCATTTAAAATGACATAAATCGGCTGGTTAAAGGCAGGTTGATATAGTAACAGTAAAAAAATACAACACACAAGAGTCCTCTCTTACATGAGTTTGAAATCAAACAGTTTTTCCAGATACTCATTATTTCTGTGTGTTTGAGCAGCTCCTCGGAGGAGCACGAGTTTGGCTCTGTTACGCCTGGCTGCGCAGCCATCCTCGCCTTGGTCCTGGCTGTCACTGGGACAGGCAGCAGGAAGGTCACTGGGATATCACATCCACGCTTGAAAATAAATGTCCCTGCCTTATTGCAGCTCTCTGCTCGCAGGAATGTGTTGGTTTATCTCTGGCAGGCAACCACAGCCCAGGGACGGGTCCTGTGCCGCTGACGTTGTCTCCTCGGGAAATATTAAAGGTTTCGCCCCTGTTTCAGTCTTGTCTCCTTGCTGGAGCCTGTACACCTGTCGGCACCCTTTTATCTTTCCCAGATAAGGCTGAGGCTAAATGAAGCAAATGAGTTTACTGTAATGCAAATTTGAGGGGGCTTCCTGTTTACAAGGAAATAGCTGTAGTGCCGGCAGAATAAATTCCAAGGCTGCAGGCCAAGGCTTAGCAGCAAATAAACTACGAGGGTGAAGAGTTTATTGGCCGTGGGGCTGATTATTGCTGAGTTTACGTGAATTATCCTCAGACTGGTTTTGTCCCGAAATCGTTAAATATCAGTTTGGGAAGGAAGGACAGAAAACACTAATGGGCCCTGAGTGCTAAAGGAAGAGGCTTAGTGTGTTTTTGTTTTTTTTAAGCACCAAAACAAAACAACCCTTTTTCCATCCACTGTCATCTGCTTTTCCTTCCCTTCTGCGTTTCCTCCTTTCGTTCCTAAGAGCCTTGCCAAGAGCTGGGAGAGCTGTGGTATCTTTTCGTTGTACATTGTTTCCTAAAAGCCTGTTTTGGGGAGATTTGCATTGGTGAGCAGAAGGGATGTCAGAGGCAGAATATCCTGCAGAAATCAGGCCTGGAATGGAAGGAAGGCGTCCATGCGGAAATATGAGCAAATGTGAAACCTTAAATTTTTTCTACAGAATTGCTGTCAAAAATTGTAAGTTTTAGATGGAAAGGAGTAAATGAACGGCACTCTGAATTTTTCAGGCTATTTATCAGACTGCTGAAGTTTTTCACTTTTCCATGTAAATGTTGCATTTCCCTTATTTTGGTCAAAGGGAGTGGAAGAGCACTATAGAACAGTTCTTTTTATTTACCAGCAGCTTGTTCTAATTTGAGTAAAGGATTTGCATGATGTGAAGCTGAGAGAAATGGTCCAAGAAATCAGGTAACAAATGGGAGAGGGTTCAGGGCTCGCAGAAGCCTTGAGTACACGCTGCTGTCCTCATCAGGAAAGTTGACATTAAAGCTTTCTTACTATAAACATCACGTAAGCTTCGGGTGCTTTTGGTGTACAAATACCTTGGGCATGGTAACAAAACACAGCATCCATCTGTCCAGGCTTCTCTCCCCGCGGCTGTAGATGTTTCTCATCTCATATCTCTTTTTCTAACCTGCTTCCAGTAATTACCTCTGTTTCAAGTTAATTTTAATTCTGATTTTTCTCTTGATCTTTTTTCCTTGGTCTCCCAACTCCTGCCCCTCTGGGGAAAAAAAGGGCATGTTGCAGTCACTTCTTTCCTGGGAAACATGCTTTTAACACGACAATTTTCTCAGGTAGCGTCCCATCCTCACTTCATCTGCAGAGGTGAAGACTGGCTCCTGGTACCCAACTGCATCTTGCTGGGGCAGTTGATGTGCCCTTTGCTTTCTTACCCAGTATTCAAACTAACTTGTTTAAAACTCTGATTGAGGTTGTTGAACACACAGAGGTTGATTTTCCTTTCCAGTTTTATTCTGAGCTGTTTGTGATTTCTTTTCTTCCTCTTATGGTTCTGAATGTTGTTGAAATGCAAGTGACGTTTCCCGCTCGGGGTTAAGCATCATTGCTCCGTCCTCTTTTGCTTCTGGTTTTACAATTCTGATCTTTTGGCCTTCCTCTGCTCTTTCTCTGAATTTCGGTTCTTTCTCTGAAGTGTCCTTCAGTGAATTCTTGTACCTCTTGAAACTTATGTAAATCTCTGAGTTCCAGGCTTACACTCCCCTGTCTCTGCTGTCAGTCTGGGTGACTTTGGTGCTGTTTTCTCTGGTGTTGTTTAACACCTCTGTTGTGTTTATTCATTTACAGTGCTGTCTCTGGGAAAATTTTCCTGACAGTTGCTTGTGTAGTTTTCATCTTTGTTGCTATTATGCCCATGTCAGCCCTCTCCATCTTTCTAGGTACTTCTTTATGTCGCTGCAAGAAAACTGTTCAGTTCTGGGCTTCTGCAGGTGGCATTTAACTCCCTGAACGGCTCTAGCTCAGTGGCATGGCATTAAAAACTCCGTGTCTGCCTGGTGCTGTGGCCATCCGTCCTTCCTGCTGGGAGCAGGAGGCATGGGCTGCTCTGGTCTGAGCTGCTCATGTCCATCAGGTCTGCAAAACTCGTCCCCTGAGGCCCTCATTAAAACACTCTTTTGTCATGAAGCTGATGAAGTTTGGCTGTGATTAATCTGCCGTGCTGTGTGTGCTGGTGCAGTGTTTGTGTGTTTACAGGCGGTGTTTCCTGCCTGTCTCCCTCTGTCCCTCGGTGTTCCCTTGTCTCCACCCAAAGCGACCGTCTGTGCCATCGGGCCATGGGCAGCACAGTGGGGTCCAACAAGGTCTCATCGGTGATGTTTGTACCCAACCCCAGTCTTTATATACAGGTTGTTTGGGGAATGGAGTGGCTCCAGGAAGCCTTGTGAGATCCCACCTGGAATACTGCTTCTAGCTCTGGGGTCCCAGCATAGGAAGGATATGGACCTGTTGGAGTGAGCCTGTGATCAGGGGAACGGGGACACCTCTGCTGTGAGGAAAGGCTGAGG